CCTGACTGGAATGAAACTGGAGAACCCAGCAGACCCGCAGATGATGATCAACCCATTCCAGCTTGATCCAGCAACAGCTGCGGCTTTGGCGCCGGGACTTGGTCAGTATCTCTTTGTCTTCTTGTGTTAGCTTGTCACTGAGGAAGTACCAGCGCTCCAGCTGAAGATGAAAACCTGTTGTTTGGATTTGCTAATTTTGCATTGAGCTTTGTCCATAAAAGCTAAATTAGCCATGTGCTAGGTAAGAGTTGCAGGAGTGACAGGAAGCGGTAAGGGAACTCCACCTGGCCCAGTGGGCTCTGCTTCCGCCCTCTGACTGTGCCTGCATCCTTGCAATCCTGTTTTCCTCTCCTCCACCCCTGTATGTGGGATCTGAAGGTACAGCATGAAATTAATCGATTATGTAATGAGGTGCTATCAAATTAACAACCTAGCAAAGATAAAGGTGGCTCTGTTTTCTGCAGTTTTTAATTATCTGAATAGCTTAACGTTTTCAGGCAGGCATGCAATCTTTTCTTTCTTACCTGACAATGCCTCTTTACAGGTAGCAAATTGTCAGTATTCCAAGTGTAAGAGGAAGGCAAATTGGAATCAAATGCTCGTGTGTGAGCAGCATACCGTCAATCTGTTACCTAATAGTACAGATTTGTAGTAAAAAGAGTTCTCAACTTTGCTCAGTTCTGATATTTCCTTTTTGATTTACCTAAATTGTCCCAGCGTCATTTGCTGGGTGTATTTTAAAATTAAGAATGACGAGGTCTGGTACCAAGAGTAGCTAATTTAGTATAGATATGCTTATCCTAATTACTATATTGTAGGTATATATATATTGACCTACCTCCAGCATCATTTAAAGGATATAACAAAACTACAATTAGTGCTGTGTAAGTTAATCTAGGCTTTTAAGTTACAAAAGCATTGCTGTTTTGTTATTTTATTGATCAACTTTCATGCCTTTGAAAATACAAATTCCAGAATGACATCATGCCCAGTAGGAGTAATTAAAGCTATCTGATGAGGGAATTTAGAAGTTGAAAGGGATGATTGTAATTGATCTTGATTCAATCCTATTACAGCTTTTTATAGTTTAAGCTCTAGAGAAAGCAAACTCCTTGTCAAGGCTTTATTTTACAGATTCCTTTGTGTGTGCTATGCTTGCTGGTCTCTACTTTCCCTTTTAATTTTTTTTTTCCTGTAGTAAATAATGAGCTGCCGCCTGAAATCCGGCTTGCCAGTGGTCAGCTAATGGGTGATGACCTGTCCCTCCTTACTGCAGGAGAGCTGTCACCTTATATCAGTGACCCAGCGCTGAAGCTCTTCCAGTGTGCTGTTTGCAACAAATTCACCTCTGACAGCCTGGAGGCCCTAAGTGTGCATGTGAGCAGCGAGCGCTCGCTCCCTGAAGAGGAGTGGAGGGCTGTAATTGGAGACATCTACCAGTGCAAGCTCTGTAACTACAACACCCAGCTCAAAGCGAACTTCCAGCTCCACTGCAAGACTGACAAACACATGCAGAAATATCAACTGGTGGCTCACATTAAAGAAGGGGGCAAAACTAATGAGTGGAGGCTGAAGTGTATTGCCATTGGCAACCCTGTTCACCTAAAATGTAACGCCTGTGACTACTACACCAACAGTGTGGATAAATTGCGCTTACATACTACCAATCACAGGCACGAGGCAGCCCTGAAACTGTACAAGGTAAGCCAGTGGCAGCAATTGCAGTTGGCACCAAGTAGACAACAAAACTAACCGTTTCAGTGCTAATCGAACAAGGCTTTGATTAATCGGCAGAATAAATGTTTATTGAATGTGCGTGTAATCGAACAAAAAGTATGTAGGCTAGTCGGGGAGACGTATTCCTGATGAGCCGTGTCGATTCACCTCAGGGCCCGTTTAGGATGCTCTTTCTGTGAACACGGCTAATGGAAGGGGTTTTTTTTTAAAAAAAAAGTTCCCTCATCATAACTGACTAAAGGGGTTTTACATCTCTTATAATCTTTTCAGACTTTGTCCGTTACATTTGGATCAAGAACTTGATAGAGATTATGGAAAATGATGATTTTTCCATACCATGTTTAGAGAAGGAGGTCACTTTCTGGCATATGTATCTGTTTGCAAATGTAATTTATCACAGCTAAGTTATTTTACGTTGATATTTTCAGTAAGCACATACAATATGCCACATTATTACCAAGGATGTTCAAAAGTAAGCACTGTCATCTTTTTGTCTGACCTCCTTTTTCAAGCCAGTAATGATTTTTCATAAACATGAAAGGGTGTGGTATAGATAAATATGTTAGTAGAATGGCAACTATATTTTTATCTTTACTGGAAAAAACTATGTGGATATAATGAATATGTGGGAGTGATGAATACCATTTATTACACAACTTGTCATGACTTTTTCCAAACCCTAATTATGGGGTAACATATTTTCTGCAGTGTGTTTACTGGACTGGCTTGATTGTCTTGGTTCATGTACAAAATATAACACATTCAATTCCAAGATGAATAACTTTGTGACTTATTAAAAACTTCTTTTGTCTAGGGGATATAAAAATTCAGGAAATATTGCAAACCATTAGTCACTGTAACAAGCTCTAAATATGATTAGAAAATCCATTTTGCAAGTGTTATCTATTGATTTATACTAGAAATCCGTGATAACTAAACTATCAGGAGTCATCTGGTGATTACAGCAACTATTCTGGTTTTCTAATCATGTTGAAAATATGTACACACAGAACAAATACAGAAAAGCCTCAGCAGAACTGTAGTTTAAGCAAAAAATATTTTGCTGGTGTTCAACCATGTTCAAATGGTTGTTGTGAGCTAACACAGGGTGCACAGACAGTAATGTGGATTTTCATTTTATAATGTGATAGCTGTAACCTTGGTGGATCTGCTAGGACAAAAATGGCAGTAACAGAAGCTTGAGTCTGTTACATTGTCCCACAGTGCTGGCTGTTTTGCTAATTTAATCATGTGTTTTATTTAAATTACATTTTTCCTTAACTCTAGGGGGTGGGGGGTTTTCTGCTTCTTTGTTCATTTTTGTAAAGATCCAAAGTCCTGTTTGAAAAGTGCCAAAAGAGCTGAAAGGCTAGTGACACAGGTAGCCTGCCTCCACAGCAAAACTGCCTTCAGAAGTTCCTGCTCCCTGTCATCTGCGAAGCAGTTCCTTCCTCCCTCCAGTTATGCTGATTGTTGAACCACGCTCTAAGCCAGGTTTTTAAAATTGTCTGAGTTAAACATAGTTGGTCCCTATCTCTTTTTTGGAGTGCTAACCTGGATTATTTGTTTTATAATGCCACCATTGAGAGAGAAGCTGCTGCAAACCGTGTCACAGAGAGGAACAATAGAATGGGAAAGGCAGAGGGCTTTTCTCAGATAGCTTCACTGCCAAGGCTTCAGAGACTTTTGAAAATAAGATGCCGGTTGCTTATTTTTTAAAGCTATAGGCATAGCTATGGAGTTGCAAGGTACAAACTATCTACTCAAAACAGCACTCTGTCTTTGCTCACTCAACCTGATCCCCAGACAAATCTTCATCAAACGTTTTTGGGTTTGCAGCATGTCTGGCAAAACATTTGATTTAGCGTACTAGGGGAGTGTGTCTCAGCTCTTAGCCCTCATCGCTAAAAATGTCCTGCTGTTGAACCTGCTTCTTTGCCAGACCCTGGTTTGTTAGATCGAGCAATTCTGTAGCACCTATGTGGTGTAACTATCATACGTGGCAAGTGACCATCACTAACCTTTTAAGTTCAGTCTCTGAATCAGTTAGGGTGAAAGATATCCCAGTGGAGAAGGAATATATAAGCTCTTAGGCACCCTCTAAGTTTCATGTCCTACAGAAGGGCAATTCAAAGTGTACTGCTGGTGACCGTAGGGTTGCAAGTCTCCCAATATGTGTGTTTTCAAAGACTTGTTCTTGGATTGCTGGTGAGAATCTCAGCTATTTAAAAAGTTTCTGTCCCTCGCAGCTTCTTAGAGAAGCTTGGAAATTTGAACCCCACTAGGCTTAACAACTCTCAGAAAACAGATAGCGTGTACACAATATTTTGATACAATCTCATTTTAAGGCTTATTTAAAATATCAGTTGTGGTGTTAGTATTATTATTTTTTAAGATTTGAGGTTGGCAGTACTACAACGTGTGCCAAATAACCAAAATGTTCTAGATGTGTGTGCTTTATAATAGAATGTAATGCCTCTGTATGTCACCCAGAGAACTTTACTTTTAATTATGGGTGTACATTCAGGCCTCAAGGTGGAAATAAATGAGATTTTGAAAGTCTGTAAAGTTATCTGCTAGCAGACTTGATAGTTTTGTCAGGTCTTGGTGAAGCTGTTGACACCAAGAGAGTCGTAAACTTTTTTCTCTTGGTACATCAGATAAACTTTTAGAACACCTAAGGAAAAAAAAGAACATTAATTTGTATGAATAATAGATATATGCCTTGGGAACGATATCGAATATTCATGAATTGTGTTTATATTCAAGCAGCTCCTCTAACTCTTTTAAAATTAAGGTGCTGTGAATATGGTTTGGCAATAAAAACTTTAATACAAAAACCATCTGAAAGCATAGAAGAAGACTCTGTGACTTTGTTCCTTTGCTTTGTCAAGTACCTCAAAGTTTTTTCTTTAGTCATTTATATTTATTTAAATGTTATTGTTTTGTGAAGTTTCTTTTTATAAATGTTGCCATAACAGCTTGATTTCTCTTCCTGTGCTTAACTATTGATGGAATAAAAGGATGTCTTTTCATAACCGTAGCTTTAAAAGCGACCACGAAGATCAGAGCTTCTCTTCTGAAGCTGTATAATTTTAGGCAGTACTGAAATGTCACTTTTAGAGTTAGTTTCTAAATGTGGCAAAGTGAAACCTTTAGACAAGTTATTTAAAAAAGAAATGGCCTGATTGCTCCTTACAGAAGTGCAGTATTCAAATGGTGTTGCAAATGTGGCTGCTAGGAACCAGGACAAAGACGGCCTTACCCTGAGTGAACTCAGCTTAGCCTAAATGAATTTCCCAAAGACTTACATTTGGAATCGTGGAGCTTGATATTAGCAAACTAAACCACAGAAGAGTTGCAAGTACTTCGCAACATCCATCAAGAAGCATTCAATGACTCCACAAGTAAACAGAGAAAGCCTCTGTAGCAACAGAGTGTATTTCCATTCTGCAGGAGAAAGCGTTCAATGTCTACAGATTTGGGAAGCTGAGGCAGGGCAGTGATCTATCTCTGTGGATATAAAGTGCATATAGCTGCAACTGCTCTTAAGCCATTTTGTAGCTTAGTCAGGTAGCTTTTGATTCAGGGAACCACATATGTCATGTCCTGTGCTCATAAAATAGTTTCTAAATACTTTTAACTAAATAAATACAGGGTAGCCTTTTTGCAAGCTAAACTGGAGCGGCTAAAGAGAAGTTTCAGTTAACCAAATGACTGAATGACATGATCCATTTCTAATTACAAATAAATATTTGCAGTTAGTCTATCAAAATACTATCCAATTAGCTGACAATAGCTTTAATAGACATTACTTTTATATTGGCTATTTGCTGCATTTTGCATCATATGTGCGACTGTTTAGGATCTCAGAGAAAGTGATAGGCAGCAGTTAACAGACTAATACTCAGCTGTGTGAAAAATACCTTGGTTTTCCCTTTATTGACAAAATATTGATCCATAACAGTATTAATGCTATGATTGTCAGTTCAATTTGGATAGATCACTTTACCTCTTGTGTTCTCAAGCGGCAAAGATATTACCCAAAAGGAGTGACCTGATTTCAGTTGAAGAAGGTTAAAGGTTAAAGGTTAGCTCAAAAGCATCATCTGCCTAGCTGCTTAACTTTAAACTGATCAATTTAATGAAAATCTGTTTTGCAGATGGTGTTTTAATGTCTTTGGCAGGATTTAGGCAGCTTTAACATTAGACGTATGCTAGTAAAAATTATTTCTTTATTTGACCAGAACAACACCTTTTCTTTTATGTTTTAAGGTAAAACGCATGTGGGATATGGTATTTTGGCAAAGGACCCAGAAGCAGAAAGTGTTGATGATCTTTCCATATGGGCTCAAAACCAGAATACCCTTATGTCTATTGCTAATGATGACTGAAGAAACAAACAAAGCTGTATTCATTTTTTACCATAATGTTTTACTTTGAACCCATAAAAAAGAATTGCAGTCAGAACTGTCCTTGAAAAAGGCTTGTCTTCTTTGCCTAGGGTGGAGTGTAACAGCATTAACATTTTTTAACCTAGCAGAGCATACTGATTGTCTCTTTCAGACTTTGTATTTGTGATCAGCAGTATTCTTTTTCCTACTCACAAACGGAGTCGTAATTGTGTTACTTAGCTCTAGATACCATAAATAATAAGGCAAATTACTCAATCTGCTAAGTTTTGTATATGATGGTGTTTATCTGAATAAACAAAGAATTAGATCCTCAGGAGTGTAAAGCACAGCTTTGTGTTTATGCCTTCTGAGTATCTGGCCCTCACCATTTTTGCCAAGATAATTAAGTTTCAGCACAAGCATGTCTTTCTATTTTCAGATGTATGCAATTCAGTGGGAATTTCTTGGGCTGCTAATGCAATACTATTATATGTTAGCTTTGTAATTAGCTAGGACTCTATCCCTTTGCTAAAATGCATTGTAATATTACATACACAAGCATAGCTTGCA